TACTTTTAATTTAGTACCCTTAATTTTGAATCAAATACGCTTACAAAATATAGCCGATAACCAGAACAAAGATATTCTTGGCAGTAAAATAAATTCTCTCTGCTATCTAGTAATAAAAATACAATCCTAGCAACTGCAATAAAAACTAGTAATAGCAAAGAATAGTGATGAGCAAAGCATAATAACAAAACAACGTGGGTTTTAAAAACGAGGTAATGTTTAAACCTCTTAATTTAATCTAGATATATTGATTATGACTCTAGCATCGCCAACCTAGAAAAATTTCGTTTAGCGAAGTTTTTAGGTTGGTAATGCTAGAGGATTTGCGATAGTATCTTATTCCTTATACTTATATCTTTTAATCCAATAAATAGATGGTGCATAATGAAAGTACATCCAATTTCAAAAACCTCGGTAATCTTAAGTTTGGTGAATCAACACATGGTCTTGAGTCTGATGAGCCAATATATGATCTTGAATTTAATGGACCAACGTATGATTCAGTAATTGTTGTTCAAGAAAATAAAGATGTCGGATTGGACTATTCTAAAGAGAAGTTATACGAAGGAATGGTATTTAAAAGTTGGAAAGAAGCATCTGATACATTAAAACTATATTCTCAATATGAAGGGTTTAAGCTAAAGAAAGGACGTGTTGAAAAGACTTCTAATAGAACTATACGAAAAAGAACAATGTTGTGTGAACACAGCGGCAAATATAAACCTAAAAACATGCAATTAACTAAAGAAACAAGCACAAAATATATCAAATATCTGTGGCATGTAAATTTGTCACAACCGCAGAAGAATAATCCTAATGAAAATGTTTATATTACCACTTTAGACAATAGCCATAATCATAACTTGTCCTCTTATAGAACAAAATTTTTTAATGATAGTGAACTTTCCCAAGAAATGTATGATAGGGTAGAATTTTATGTGAATACTGTTAAGTTAAAGCCGCTACAAATTCAGAGGGCTTTACGAAAAGAATTTTCTGACCACAAAGTTTACCTTTCTGAAATTCATAAAGCAACAGCAAAATATTATAGTGGGAAATGAAAGGATATGTTAAATGATGCTGCATCATTGTACAAAGAATTAGTAAGAAGAAAAAATGAAGATTCTCAATGGTATATTGCAATTGAGTGGGACTGAGAATCACATAGCCTTCAAAAGCTATTTTGGATGTCTCCGATCAGATTATCTTTTGGATAGAGTATTGTGATATTATACTTAGGATAATACCGCAAAAACAAACTGATACGATATGGCCCTCTCACTTTTCTTATGTGTTGACAATCACAGGTCTTCCCGACTAGTTGGATGTGCGCTTATGAACAATGAGTTAGCAAATTCGTATCAGTGGGTTTTACGTCAGACAAAACAGGCCACTGGAGGCTATGTACCTGCTGTTATTATAACCGATGCTGATCCGGCTTTGGATCTTGCAATCTTTGAGGAGTATGAACAATCTTATGCCATGCATTGTATATTCCATATATCACAAAACCTTTCTCGAAATCTCGAGGCTAAGTTGGGTCAACAGTATCAGGAGTTTGTTTAAGATTTTTACACTGCTAGAAATTCTCTTGTTCCGGAAGTTTTTGAACAAAAATGGAAACAGTTAATTAAGAAATATAATGAGCCTAGAGTTGTAAAGTATCTA